ATACAAAGACTAAGGTGACAGTGCCACACAGGGCCACTCGATTTGGGATGAGTGACAAACCCGAGTGGCCATCTGAGTGGCCCAGCTGACCCCTGAGTCATTCCTTCCCCTTTCCACATCCTTCCTTTCAATGAAGTCCAAACTTGCTAAGGTTTCAGGATAAAAATGAACTAAAACTCAGCTGTCCAAATGAAAGGTTTTAATTTATTTATGAATTGAATGCATATCTGTGATGCTTGGAGCTAGATAAGAACAAAAAGCCAAGTGTGATTAAGATTTTTCCTTTGCCTCCTTCTGTCCCAGGTTTCTTGGCAGAATGCATTATTGGAGTTCCATAAGGACAGACCTGCCTGCAGGACAGGACAGTGACAAGGGTCTGATCTCACGTAGGGTTGCCAGATTGAGCAAATAAAACTAGAGGATGCCCAGTTAAATGTGAATTTCATATAAGCCATGAGTAATTTTTTAGCATAAGTATGTCTTATGCAATATTTGGGATACACTTATACTAAAAAACAGTATTCACTGCTTATCTGCAATTGGAAGTTAGCTGTGAGTCCTATATTTTATCTGGCAATCCTAATCTTAAAGGACACAGATTTTTAAGCATTTACAGATTATTGAGGCAGTCAGAGTTAGCCCCACTACAGGTAGCTGATGTTTTACAAAATTGTAAATATCAAAACTACCTAGGATTCGCTGTTCTTTGTGCAAAAGTGAAGGAGCTTTTATGCTGTGCCACTCCCATCTCCTGCCCCCTAAATGGTAGTATAATGTGAGACCAATCTTTCACAAGATCAGCAAGCGTGGTGGCGGAGGGGTGGGAGGGCACAGACAGTGCCTCACTCTCTGTGTGTTCTAAAGTAGTTGCATTCGCCTTTGTCTTTAGTGGCACAGACCAATTTTGCAGGCACAGAACCAGAATTCATTACATAATCAGTGATTACAAAACCAGAGCTAAAATGTGGAACAATACAATGTTCCATTACAGAAAACCATAAAAAGAAGCATTTTGCAAGACAGTGTTTCACTCTTGGCAGATCCTCCATGTGAGCCTCGTTTAATGAGAGACTGAGCTAGTCCCACCGTACTGCAGGGAACCTCATCACAAAAAAAGGGCTGAGCGATGAGCGCGGTGAAATGCCAGCCGTGTCTTAGCAAATTAGCAGAGTTTGGCCACACGCTCAGTGGCAGTAAGATGTCATGACAATACTAGCTATAAGAGTGATTTTCAAGTTCCGCCCCTGTGTCCACACAATGAAATCACCTTCCCAGGTGGCTCCGATGTGGTCCGCTGGAAGTGGTAGGGGTGGTGACAGCAGTGTCAGTGGAGGTGGGAAGAGGGTTAAAGTGATTTGGCAAATCCAGAAAGAAACACAATTTAATCAATAGAATTGGGATACAGTTGCAAGGATGTTTGTGAAGTCACACCTAGAGCCACGGCCACATTTTCTCATGGCAGCATTGAGAATCATGCAGTCAGTGTCAATTTCAACAGAAAGGCTTTTATAGGACATGTGAGTCTAATATTTTTTAAAAATTCATCATTCAGTCTTAATGTTGTGTAGAGTGAAAAATCAATGTTGAAAACCAGGCCATAGTGAGGTTAAGAATATGGCTAATTGACCTGGTATGGTGGCTCATGCCTGTAATCCCAGCACTTTGGGAGGCCAAGGCAGGCGGATCACATGAGGCCAGGAGTTTGAGACCAGCCCGGGAAACATGGCGAAACTCCATCTTTACTAAAAGTACAAAAGTCAGTGGGGTGTAGTGGCATACGTATGCCTGTAATCCCAGCTATTTGGGAGGCTGAGGCATGAGAATCTCTTGAACCCAGGAGGTTGAGGCTGCAGTGAGCCGAGATTGTACCACTGCACTCCAGCCTGGCAGACAGAGCAAGACTGTCTGAAAAAAAAAAAAAAAAAAAAAAAAGAATTTGGTTAATTGTAGGAAGTCATATGTGGCTGTTGCCATGGCCAAAATTCACATTAAACAATTATATAATAGTTCTATTTTCTGAAACTTAAAGAATGGTATTTGGTGTCTACTATGGGTCACATGTTTTACAGGAGATTTCTACGATCCCATCTAATTATTTTTAATAATTATTATTATTATTATTTTGGTAGAGACAAGGTCTCACCACGTTGCCCAGGTTGGTCTCAAACTCCTGAGCTCAAGCAATCCTCCTACCTTGGCCTGCCAAAGTATTGGGATTATAGGTGTGAGCCACTGCGTCTGGTGGCTCAGCATAGGTTTGTTTTGCTTTTTGTTTTAGAAGCAGTGTTCTTGCTTTAGTGCCCAGGCTGGAGGGCAGTGGTGTGATCATAGTTCACAGCAGTCTCCAACTCCTGGGCTCAAGTAATCCTCTGACCTTAGCCTCCTGAGTAGCTGGGACTACAGGCTTGAGCCACTGTGCCCAGCTAATTTTTATTTTTGGTAGAAATATGAGTCTTGCCATCTTGCCCAGGCTGGTCTTGAACTTCTGGTCTCAAGCAATCCTCCTACCTTGGCTTCCCAAAGTACTAGGATTACAAGTGTGAGCCACTGTGCCCAGACTTAATGCCACTGAATTTTAAGAATCAATTCAGTGGCATGAAGTGCATTCACAATGTTGTGCAACCATCACCACTGTCCATCTCTGGGACTTTTTCATCTTCCCAAATTGCAGCACTACCCATGAAACAATAGCTCCCCATTACCCTCTCCCTCCAGCCTCTGATAACCATTATCTGACTTGCTGTTGCTATACATTTGCCTATTTGAGATACTTCATATATGTGAAATCATACAATCTTTTTCCTTCTGTGTCTGACCAATTTCACTCAGCATAATGTCCTCAAAGTTCACCCATGTTGTGGAGCATGTATTAGCTCATCTAATTCCTAGAACCTGCGAAATCAGTTCTATTATTACCCTAAGGAAATGGCACTGCCCCCGCAAGCACTGCATGCTTCTGACTCTGAAATTAAAGTGAAAGTGAAAGTGAACGGTCTATCCTGCTGGGATTGCCCTATGAACACCGTAAAATGTGGCCACATCCTGGGGTTAAGGATCTCAAGTCCTGAGAATCATCCTGGAAGAGGGTTTGGTGATGCCATGGCAGGTGTTTTTGAGTTCTTTCAGCCTCCAAGAAGGGATGAAATGGGCCTGGGCGAGAAATAGAGCTGGTTGGTGACTTTCTGGGAACAAAGCCAATTTGTCCAAAGCAACTTTCAGAGGCCATGAACCCTGAAATGATCCTGGTGCCTCATCCTGTCTCCCCCAAATCCCAATATGGAATTCGCAGTAGAAACAATACCAAACCATTCAACTAATGCAAAGATTCAACGAATACAGGGAAACCCACATGGTCCCACTACTCCAATGCTTTTTTATTCTCCCCAGAGACCAAGCTCGCTCTGTCATCCAGGCTGATTGCAACCTCCGCCTTTAGGTTCAAGTGATTCTCCTGCCTCAGCCTCCTGCGTAGCTGGGATTACAGGCATGCACCACCATGCCTGGTTAAGTTTTGTATTTTTAGTAGAGATGGGATTTCACCATGTTGTCCAGGCTGCTCTCTAACCCCTGAGCTTAAGTGATCCTCCTGCTGCAACCTCCCAAAGTGCTATGATGATTACAGGTGTGAGCCACTGTGCACGACCCCTGATTTTTTAAAAAAATATATATGTTTTATTTTGATGTAATTTCAGACTTACAGAAAAGTTGTAAAAATAATACTTTTTCCTAAATGCTTCATGTAGCTTTCCTTTGTGCTAACACCTTGCATAACTATAGCACATGATTAAAATTCAGAATTAACACACGTACAATACTATTAAACTTTGTTCAGGTTTAACTAATATTTTCACTAATGTTCTTTTTCGGTTTCCATATCCAATCCAGGATTCTGCACTGAATTTTGTTGTCATATGTCCTTACTTGGCTCCAACCTGTGACAGTTCCTCAGTCTTCCCTTATCTCTCACAATCGTGACACATTTTTTTTTTTTTTTTTTGAGATGGAATCTCGCTCTGTCTCCCAGGCTGGAGTGCAGTAGCGCAATCTCGGCTCACTGCAACCTCCACCTCCCAGGTTCAAGCTATTCTCCTGTATCAGCCTCCCAAGTAGCTGGGATTACAGGCACACCCCGCCACGACTGGCTACTTTTTGTATTTTAGTAGAGATGGGATTTCACCGTGTTGTCCAGGTTGGTCTCAAACTCCTGAGGTCAGGCAATCGCCCGCCTCAGCCTCCCAAAGTGTTGGGATTACAGGGGTGAGCCACCGCAACCCGGCCAATGATGATTTTCTATCTTCTTAATTATTTCTATATTTATTTACTTTGAATTCTTCTGTAAGGAAAAGCTGTCCTTTCTCCCACATTTATTTATTTATTCAATTATTTATTGATACCAGTTTGGATACATGGATATTTATTTTATACTTTGATGCTTTAAACAATTAATCAAATGTCAAATTATTTTTAAATTTTCTTTCTTTCTTTTTTTTTTTTTTGGTGGAGTCTCACTCTGTTACCCAGCTAGAGTGCAGTGGCATCATTTCGGCTCACTGCAACCTCCACCTCCTGAGTTCTAGCAATTCTCCTGCCTCAGCCTCCTGAGTAGCCAGGATTACAGGCACCTGCCACCACACTCAGCTAATTTTTTGTATTTTTGGTAGAGACAGGGTTTCACCATGTTGGTCAGGCTGGTTTTGAACTCCTGACCTCAAGTGATCCACCCACGTTGGCCTCTCAAAGTGCTGGGTTACAGGCGTGAGCCATCGCACCCAGCTTAAAACTTCTTTTCTCTCTCCCATATTCATTCTCTGCCTCTTCTTCTGTTGCCCAGCATGGTTGGTACCCTAACCATGGAGTGTGCCTGCCTGTTGAGCCATTCTGCTCTGAAGAGATAGGGGTAAGTTCACGGAAAGCTGACATTTGAAGGATGGCTGGGAAGTCTCTGTGCTGGAGCAGGGCAGGCAATGGCAACGTGTGTTCTAGATACTGCTGTGACTCACCTGCAATGAGGAGCAGAATTCCTAAGGTCCCCAGGAGGGCAGGAAAGGTGGGGATCTTCACATTCAGCAACAATGGTCAAGAAAGAGAAAAGGAGTGGGGCTTCAGAACACCCGGGGGTTGATGATGTCTTACGCTTGGTGTTTCTCAAGTCCCGGGGCTCAGGTCTGGAGAAAAGGTGATTATGTAGGTCAGCGTCTCTAACCATAGAAAACAAGGCACTCACTAGGGTCAGCTCAAGGCCACCCTCAGGAATGAATAGCTGTTGACTTTTCATTTTAAGTGTGGGTTCGGGCATATGAGGACAAAGTAATAATTTGGGTGAAAGGTCTCCCTTATGAAAGGATTCACTTTGAATCACAGAAAACAACTCCTCCTCCTAAGTACACCTTAACATTATTCCTTTTATAAGGGTAAGAGTCAAACTGGGACTTGGTAATCCAGCCAAAAACTGGATTCAGGGTGTGCATGAGCCTTATTGACTCTCTATGCATCCATAAACCACCTTGTAATCCCCCACCTGACATTATGCCTGCCTGTCCTATTGAATCGGAGGTCCCCAAAGCAAGCTGAGGGTGCCTACCCTCTTGGGAGAGAAGGACCCAGGCTCCATTCCTGCCACCATGGGTTTGTGAGTCTTCATAGACAGTGAGCCCCTTCCGCTGGGCTTCTCCTCCTCAGCTTTTGCAGGAAAGCTAAGGCTTTAGCCTTTCCTCGAGGGAGCCTTGGCCAATTTAGGGCAAAGCAGAACGGTGTTTGGTAGTAACCTCGGGTTTCTGTGTCACTCAGCATATGTGGAATGTGTATGTGTCTGTCTGCCTTCACTTTGGAGCATCTTCTGTGCACCAGGCCCCATACAAAGTGCTTTAGGTAAGTATCACTATCCCATGACACATGTTTCAGGTAAGTATTATTATCCCATTTCACACAGGAAGACACTGAGACTCAGAGATTTCCACCACCATGGATGGCACAGAGCTAGGACCCAGGTCTCTCCAGCCCTAAAGTTGAGCCTGCGTCCATCAAGCCATGCCACTTTTGGAAGGGTGTCTGTCCAATGTCAGAACTTCTTTCATTCCCTGTCACTATCCTTGCTGAATGTTGTATGTTCAGAACTTTTTCCTCAGCTTTAGGGTCTGGGTCACAACTCCACCACACCCTCAGGAACATAGTGCATCTCACCAGGGAGGTTCTTCCTCCAAAAGTGTGGACTCTTGGGGTGACACTGAACAGGGAGTCAGAGCTTCGGAGTTTGTGGTTTCCTGGGCAAATTCCAGAGTGAAAAGAACATGACAAGAATCACTCATTTGAGTGTTTTAAAATAATAAATTATTGTTTGTATTTCCTGAGCACTTACAAAGTGCCAGGCATTGTGACAAGCACTTCACACACATTATCTCACTATATTTCCAACCCCCCAAGGTATAGGTCCCAATCCCTTACCTGGTTCCATTCAGATTCAGGTATGTTTCAGAATTCCAAAGTGTTCATGTTTTTAAGGGGCAAATCTGTGCATGTACTGTATTTTTCATAACACCTCTCAGCAAGATCTGGGGTGACATCCATCATTAGACACTGATATTTCTGCAGCCGACATATGGATAATCGTGCTTAATGGGATAAATAAAAACTAGATTATATAAAGTCTCATAAACTTTCAGGTTAGGTTTTACCATCAAATGAATTTCCTGCAAACGTAAAAAAAAAACAAAAAACCTGTTTTTCAGAGCCCACTGGATTTCTGAATTGCTGACAAGGGATTATAGATCTGGAATACTATTATTCCCACTGTACAGATGAGAAAACTGAGGTTTAGAGACATCGGGGGCTTATCCAAGGTCATACCACTAAGTGGTGGAGCCAGGGTTTGGAGCTAGTTTGATGTGCTTGTACCCCTGCACTTTTTTTTTTTTTTTTAACCTCTGTTTTAACTTTAAAGCTTCATATGGCAGGAGATAAAAGTGTTTGGAGGCAGGGATTTGGAGGTTTTTTGCTGTTGTTGTTGTTGTTGTTGTTGTTTTGGAGACAGGATCTCACTCTGTTGCCCAGGCTGGAGTGCAGTGGCATGATCATGGCTCACTGCAACCTTGACCTCCTGGGCTCAGGTGATCCTCCCATCTCAGCCTCCCAGGTAGCTGGGACTACAAGTGTGCGCGACCACATCCAGCTAATTTTTTGTAGAGATGGGGTTTCTCCATGTTGCCCAGGCTGGTCTCAAACTGCCAGGCTCAAGCAATCCACCCTCCTCATCCTTCCAAAGTAGATAAAAGTTTTCAGACTCCATCGACTTTATTTCTTCGTGAGGATCCACTTAGAGCTAACATCCAAATACATTTTCACTGGGAATGATTAATAAATTTTTCTCATAAATTGATAGGTTAGACCATATTTCTGTATCCAGTCACCTTCTCAAAGAGGTTAACGAAACAGAACATCATCATGTTCGGGAAGAGGAGGTGTGTAACTTTCCCATTTTCAGTAAGAAAATAGTTTGTCTCTTTCTGTTCTTTCCACCTTCATGTGTTTTCTTGTTTGGTTGCATTTCTGCTCTGGTTAATGGGCTCGAGACCTGTGGTTTCTGTTCATCCAGTTGCCAGGAGCTGCTGGTGTCCCCATCGCCTCATTCTTTTCCCCTAGGCAGGGCTTCTCCTCAGCATCTCATTGACTCCATTGTTCCAAGTTCTTGCCTATCCTCCCATCCATGGATTTCAATATGTAAACCCCATCTTGACAGCTACTTGCTGACTGAATATTAGAGAAATAGGATCATTTCACATAAACATCTGCTACTTCATTCTAGAACTTAAAAGTTTGTGATTCCAGTTAAAGCAGACGAGCCTGTTTTTCAGGGGATTGCAGAGGACAGAGGTGAGGGGTTTGTGTGAGTATTCTTACTGCTTTGCCAAGTCTCCTGCCTCCTCCAAGTCACTAAGAATCAGGATACTTGGCCAGCTACTCAGCAAGACATCAGATTCCAGGAGGCAGACAAGAAAAGCAGGGAGAGATTCGCTTTTCGGCACTTGCATCTCTGCAGTTCAGCTGGTCTGAGCCTGAGCTAAGGGACTGTTACTGGCTACCGATTCTGGATAATGAGTTCAGAGACTGGGATCCATTGACCGGCACTTGGTTGACTTTGTCTCTACAGTTTTTCAATTAAGTAGATTATTCTTCTGAAGGCAAGTTTGAAACATCCAAATTTTGGTGGGACAGAGCAATTGCTGGTATTGTTCAGGTTATTTGGTAGCATCAGAGTATGGGGAAAAGAAAAATAATACAAAGTGGATCTGTTCCCTTTTAAAATTTTGTTTTTCCACAGTGATCTCTCTTCTAACAAAATCCCGTCTCACCCCTGATGATCTTACGAAAAACACTCTTTTGTTCTTCAAGTTGTAAGAAAACAAACCATGGAAAGTAACTGATTTTCATTAAAAACTGATGAATGCTTGGGTCAAATCTCCTAATTACAGAGATCAAAGGAGACTAATAAATTTTAACTCAAAGTTCTTTTTTTCTTCAAAAGAATAGCCTTCAATGAAAACAAGTGTTTCCTAACCCAATAAAGAAATCTGCAACAATCCATTCTCCCAGCTAATTTACTTAAGAGTTGTGTTTGTTTAAATTACACATGCTCTGGTGTGTCTGGCCTTCCCTTTCTTCTTTACAACTCAAGTCAGTGAAATACCAACAGGGTTTTTCCTTTTCTTTCTTTCTCTTTCTTTCTTTCTTTCCTTTTTTTTTTTTTTTTTAGAGACAAGGGTCTCACTATGTTGCTCAGGCTGGTCTTGAACTCCTGGGCTCAAGCAATACTCCTGCCTCAGCCTCCCAAACTGTTGGCATTACAGGCGTGAGCTGCTGAACCCAGCCCACAGGGATTTTCATGGGCACCATTTCTTTTGACAATAAAACATCCCCCATTTCTCCTTTGTTTATGTTTGAGGTAACTATGCATTTCAAGCCTCACAGATCCTCTCTTCTCTCACCTTTGATTCCAGGTGATGTTTTCTCCCCTTGACGATGCAGACCTGCAACCCATGGTTCTGTTCTCAGCTCCCTCGTTCCTTACTCTGCCCTCTGTCCCTCTGTCCCTCTTCCCTCTGTGGTTATCCATTGCTGTGACCTGATTGCCCTCCTATAAGCTGGAGACCAGCTCACCAGAGCTAAGGACTCAGCGGCCTTCTCTTGGACTCCTCTGTTGGGATATTTCATGGGCACCTCAAACTCAACATGTCCTGAAGCGTCCTTGTCACCCCCCACCACCCTTCCTCCCGCCATCACCGCCTCCACACCTTATTGGCCTCTTCCTCAACCCTAGTCTTTCTCTTAATCCTCAAGCTCAATGGATGGTTCTATTCTTTACTATTCTTCTAAACCGGAGTCATCCTCCGTCATCCTCTGTGATTCCTTCATCCCTCAGATCCTGTCAGGCATGCAGTTCTGTCAACACTGCTTCCCGACCAGCTTCAGAAGCCATCCCCTCTCCCCTATGTCACTGCATTGCCTTAGTGCGGGTCCTCCTCCCTCACCTGGACTACTCGACCTCCTGACACTAACTCCTACAGCCCTGGGTCATCCTCAACCCACTCATCTTGACCTCATCCCAGACCGGTCTTTGGGTACTGTATTCTCACGGGAGTTAAGTTTCTCAAACACAAGTTTGATTTTTTCCCCTCTTTGGGTATTCCTTTTCATTTACAAATGAAAACCCTACATTTGCAGCACTGTCTTCAAGGCCCTCCATGTTCTGGCTGCATTGTCTGCCTTGCATGTTTAGTGGTATCTGACGCTTCTCACGAACCCTTGAATGTAGCATATGGCTTCACATCTCTGGGCCTTTGCACATGACGTTTCCTCTATCTAGAATGCTCTTTCCCCTCCTCTGCCTAGAAGACACTCACATGGTCATTCACGTCAACAGACATTTATCAAGTATCTACTATGAGCCCCAAGACTGCTAACAGTGGAGACAGAAAAATGAGAAGGCGTGATCCTCTTCCTGGCCATCCAGTTGAAACATCAGTCCTTGAAGCTCCCCTTAAATCTCCCCTCTCCAACCCCATCACCTATGCACAGTAGACCATTTTTCCTTACTAATCTTCTTTCCACTTGGTGCATAATTCCTTCATTGCACTTACATGGTATAACTTTTGTTTGTCTGCTGAGGCTCAGACCAATGTTCATTGCTTTGGAGGAGGAAGTATGTAGTTTGAGAATATATGTTTGTTTGTTTGTTTTCTGTTGAGCACTTCCTTACTTTCTGGCACTACAAGATGCTCCAGGACCATCTCATATTTCCCCTGTCTCAGCCCTAGAATCAGCCATTTCTCCAAGGAGTAACTGGGCATTTAAAAATAGTAGACTTTTAAATATAAAAGCAATGCATTCTTTTTGCAGAAAATTTGGGAATTTTAAGAGGTTAAAAATACAACAATTCTCTCTCTGAAAAAAAAAAAAAAAAGAATATATGGGCACTAGCATCTGTGTGGTAGGTAGAATTCTAAAATTGTCCGAAGATTCCTGACCCTTGGTGTGCATGCCTTCCCCTTGATGTAGGCAGGAGTAGTGAATATGATGGAATTTTACTCCAATGACGAGATTATGTTATATAGCAAAGGTGAAGAGGTTTTGCAGATTAATTAAGGTTGACTTTGAGTTAATTGAAAGGGAATTTATCCTGGGTAGGCCTGACCTAATCAGGTGAGCCATTCAAAAGAGAATACAGGCCTTTGCTGAAAGGAGAGATCTGAAGCAGCGGAGACCTTCTCTTATTGGCCATGAAGAAGCAATTTGCTATGTTGTGGAAAAGGTTGTGTGCCAGGAGCAGTGGGTGGTTTCTAGGAGCTGAAGGCCTTAGTCCCACAACCACAAGCCACTGGATTCTGCCAGCAAATGGTAAGCTTGAAAGAAGATCCCAAACCTCATATGAAATTGCAGTCCTGGCTGACATAGTAATTTTAGCCTCATGAGACCTTGAGCAGAGACCCCAGCTAAAATGTGCCCAAACTTCTGACCCATAGAAATGGTGAGATAATAAATGTGTGTTGTTTCAAGACACTAAATTTGTGGTAATTTGTTACACAACAAGAAAAAACTAATACAATCTGATAGGCTTGTGTTGAATTCCTGTTCTTTAGTTACTACAAATGTGATCTTGGACTTAACCTCTCTGAGTCTGAGTTTCCTCATCTTAAAATGGGTAATACCTACCTGTAAAATGAGTAATAGTAAAACCTACTTTATGGTACATTTGTGAGGGTTAAATGTGCTCAGTACATTCGAGTCGAATGAATGAATGATGCTGAGTGTCTTTAAAGAACAAGTATAGCACATGTACCATCTGAACCTCAAGTAAAAATTTTTTAAAAAAGAACAAGTATAAACACAAGCCTTTTCATCTAATTTTTTTTTCTAATTTAGTGCTGGTATAATCCTAGTTCACTCATATACAAAATTAGGGACCATCCAGATGACATTTTAGATGCCTTCTAGTTATACATTCTATAATGCTGATAATCTTGAGATAAGGTCTTGGAATAATAATCTTAAAGTTGCCAAAAAAAATTAGTATTCTTAAAGAGTACCCTAAAGGAGATATTTGTTAATGAGACGTTCTTCTCTCCTGAGCGTCTCTCCTGAACCAGTCACTATCCCCAATACAATAATGTCAAGTATTAATATCCAGATGTCTGCACTGACATTGACAGCATTAGTGCAAAGGTTTTGCCAGCTGAAAATGCAAAATAGTTTTTGATCAAATGTTAAAGATGCATTTGACACATATGAATTCCTTTGATTTTTTTTTTTTTTTTTAGATGAATTTTCCCTCTGTTGCCCATGCTGGAGTGCAGCTGGAGTGCAGTGGCACCATCTCGGCTTGCTGCAACATCTGCCTCCCGGATGTTCAAGAAATTCTCTTGCCTCAGCCTACCAAGAAGCTTGGACTACAGGCACACACCACCACACCTGGCTATCTTTTATATTTTTAGTAGAGACAGAGTTTTGCCATGTTGGCCA